CCCATCCCCATCCCATCCCATCCCATGGATCCCATCCCATCCCATCCCATCCATCCCATCCCATCCCATCCCATCCCATCCCATCCCATGGATCCCATCCCATCCCATCCCATCCCATCCCTGCGGGTCCCCCTTGGGGACTTTCCCCACAGCTCCTGGGGATAATGTGGTGACAAGGGTGGTGCTGGGACCCCCCAGGACAGAGGTCCCATGGATTCAGGTCCCAGAGATGATCCCTTGGGAACGGATCCTCCATCCCACATCACTCAGTGTCCCACACCCCTTGGAGGAGCCCTGAACTCCCTGGGGAGCATCCACAGGCACAAGGGCTGGGATGGCTGCAGGGTGCAGGGGACAAGGACAAGAGTGAGTGATCCCCACCCCAGGACATGGCAATGGTTGGCACCAAATCCCTGCGGGAATGGGGGGACGTGGGGTCCCTGCCAGAGTGAGTGAAACACCCCTGAACTGGTCAGGCTGCTCTGGGGAAAAAGGGGAAGGGGAAAGGGAATCTGGGCTGTGGGAGCACTGGAGGCTTGGAGGGTGTTAGAGTCTTATGGCATCAAGCCCCTTCCAGGGGGGAAACTGAGGCACAGCAGGAATTCCCTGCCCTGCAGGGAGCTCTGCACATTTCCTGTTCCTGCTCCACCATCCTGGTCCTGCTGCCATAAATAACAAATCAAACCCAGCAGGTCTGCAGCTAAACAGGCGTGAGAGAAGCCCCTCTGCCCCATCCATGTCCTCCATCACTGGCAGGATGGAGAATTCCTGGGCTTTCTCGGTGCTGTGCCCAGAGCCATCCCCAAAATGCCTTTTCCAGGCTGGAAATCCCCTTGAAACCTTGTGTTCAGCAGGAAAAGGAAACAAAATTTCCTGGGGGAGGTGAAGGGACCCTGAGGAGTGGCTGCCTGGCCAGGGTAGGGCAGGGCAGGGCTCAGCCAAGGGATGCTCCAACATCCACACTTCCTTCTGTTGGGAAGTTCATGGATCCACCCTCATCCCTCTGTTTCTCCACAGACATCTCTGGCCCCTCACCTAAAACAATCAGCAATCCAAGCCCAGCTCTTGCCCCAGATCCCTGTCCCAGACAGCCCAGATGCTGCAGGAATGCTTGGGAACGGGCAGGGGTGCATGGGAATGGACAGGCAAAGTTCCTGGCCTGCTCTCAGTTCAGCCTCAGTCTCCCAGTTCTCCAGTGGGGAGCCAAGGAGGCAAATCCCAAAGCAGGGATTCCCAGACAATCCAATCCCTGCACACTGAGCCACCACATCTCTCGCATTTTTGGGATCTGGACATTCTCCCTGGTGTTCCATCACCTCTGCAGGCCAAGCCCAGAGCTGGGAATGTGGGAGATGTCCGTGCCCCTGGCAGGGGCGAACGGGATGGGCTTTGTGGTCCCTTCCAAGCCAACTCCATGATTCCATTTCCACAATTCCATGAACCTGATTCCACAGTTCCATGATTCTCCTGCCTGCCCTTTTCCCTTCTCCCAAGGTGCGAGGGACTCATCCCGACTGCTCCGTCGTCCTCCACTTCCAGAAGCAAGAAGCGGAATGTCTGGAGAGGATCTGGAGCGAGAGCCAAACCCCAGTACTCCCTGGGCAGGAAGATGAGGGTGAGCCTGGGATCAGCTCCCCTGGGACCAGGGCAGGAATTCCTGAGGGGTCCTTGGAGGGTGATCCATGGTAGGGGATTGCAGAGTGCCCATGGATGTGGAAACGAGGGGATTTCCAGGGAAATGGAGAGCAGCACCAAGGCAAAGGACAAGGAGAATCCCTGCAGAGCCCCAAAAATGCAGTTGGAACGGGATAGAGGGGATTGAGGGACACAAACAACAGCGGGAACTCAGACCTGGTGGATTTAGAGAATCAGGCTGGGATTGGGAGGGACCTTAAAGCCACTCAGTGCCACCCCTGCCATGGCAGGGACACCTCCCACTGTCCCAGGCTGCTCCAGCCCCAATGTCCAGCCTGGCCTTGGGCACTGCCAGGGATCCAGGGGCAGCCCCAGCTGCTCTGGGCACCCTGTGCCAGGGCCTGCCCACCCTGCCAGGGAACAATTCCTGCCCAAGATCCCATCCAGCCCTGCCCTCTGCCACTGGGAGCCATTCCCTGCCTCCTGGCCCTCCATCCCTTGTCCCCAGTCCCTCTCCAGCTCTCCTGGAGCCCCTTTAGGCTCTGCAAGGGGCTCTGAGGTTTTCCCGGAGCCCTCTCGCCCCTCCAGGGATCAGGGATGGCTTCACAGAATACGGCAGTGCTGGATCTGCTTGTGTCCCCAGCAGAGCCCCCTTGATCCCCCTGCACCGATGCCAGGGCTGTGGCCACCAGCACCGGGGTCACTCCATGGTGTCACCATCTCACATCTGCTCCCCTCCCTCATTCAGGAAATTTTACAGCCAAACATTTTTTGAGCAACTCAATTTTCCCATATCTGAGATTTTAAACAAATTAACTTGTTGAAAAAACAATTTTTAAGTGCTGCTTTTGGACATCCTTTTTAAAATTGCATCTCAGTTTCCATCCAAAGTGGAATGGCCCAATCCCAGGCAAAAATTGTCACCAGGAGAATAAGGAATGCGTCATTCCAAGGCTTTAATCTCATAGCATTGGAAAAATTAAGCAATAAATGCATACGAAGGCGCATAATTGCTAAAGTAACTCAGCAGAGATGTCATTTATTCTTCAGCTTAGCGGGGAAAAGCCAATTTGATTGGAAAAAGCCCATTTTGCAACCTGAATTGTGCCAGCCAAGGGGAAGGAATCTCACTGCAGGGAAATATCTGAGAAGCAGGAATGCATAATGAAAACCCAGGTTTAATCCCAAGGTTGCTGCTGCCCCCAGTCCACCTGAGCTGCATTCACCCCTTCCTCTGCTTGTGCCAGCGTGGGAGCTGTGAGCGAGGACAGGCTCATGGACAGAGTGGGAGGGCTCTGGGAACAATTCCTGCCCAAGATCCCATCCAGCCCTGCCCTCTGCCACTGGGAGCCATTCCCTGCCTCCTGTCCCTCCATCCCTTGTCCCTGGCCCCTCTGCAGCTCTCCTGGAGCTCCTTTAGGCCCTGGAAGTGGTTCCAAAATCTCCCTGGATCCTTCTCCTCTCCAGGTGAACACTCCCAGCTCTCCCAGACTTTCCTCATGGCAGAGATCTTCCATTCCTTGCACCATTTCCATGGCATCCTCTGGACTATGGGGGCTACGAATTCCAGTGGAGGTCCTGGAGATGCTCCAAAGGCTCCTCTGGAGCCAGGCTGGGAGAGCTGGGAGTGTTCACCTGGAGAGGAGAAGGATCCAGGGAGATTTTGGAACCACTTCCAGGGCCTAAAGAGGCTCCAGGAGAGCTGGAGAGGGACTGGGGACAAGGGATGGAGGGACAGGAGGCAGGGAATGGCTGCCAGTGGCAGAGGGCAGGGCTGGATGGGATCTTGGGCAGGAATTGTTCCCTGGCAGGGTGGGCAGGCCCTGGCACAGGGTGCCCAGAGCAGCTGGGGCTGCCCCTGGATCCCTGGCAGTGCCCAAGGCCAGGCTGGACATTGGGGCTGGAGCAGCCTGGGACAGTGGGAGGTGTCCCTGCCATGGCAGGGGTGGCACTGGGTGGGATTTGAGGTCCTTTCCCACCCAAACCATTCCCTGATTCCCTGCTTCCACGACCCCAGGAAATGAAGTGACTGATCCCAATTCTATGCTCCCTTCCCCGATTCCCCTGAGCAAAAACCAAGCCTCACTTTGGCATTGTAGATGCAAATCCCTCCGTGCCTGTGCTGACACCCCCAGGCTGAAATCGGAGGAAACTCATCAGACTTGTCCAATTCCACATTCCCTGGCTGGCAATGGATGTGGCTCCAGGTGAACAATGTGGATCTGCAAGGTTAATGATGGAGCTGTGCTGGGACAGGAGCTGGCCTGGAACGGGATGTCCTTGTCCCATCCCATCACAAGTTCCTCCAGGCCCTGAGTCTGCCTGGCCCTGCTCATTCCCAAGGAAATTGGAGAGTGATTTAAACGGGAATTGAGTGCTGGATAGGGAAAGTTGTTTAAGGTGATCACTCGCAGCAAGCTTTGCCTGATTTCCCTCTGTCCTTGGGGATACATCCCGAGCTGAGCCTCCAGGTGCAACAATCCAGCATAAATCTGGGTTATTTTAGGAGCCGGGGCAAATCCCAGCCCACCCCACAGGCAGGGTCTGATGCAGCCCCGGGAGTTGCCGGGTCCCAGCGCTGGGAGAGGATGTTCCCAGGAGCAGAGCCGGGATGCTCGCGGTTCCTGCGGGGCCCTGGACCGGGGGACAGCGGCGGGGCTGCGGTGTCACCCGCACGTCCCCTCCTGGTGTCACCGCGGTCCCCTCTCTCCCTGCCCAGGCTGCCCGACGGAGTGGGACGGGGTGAGCTGCTGGCCCGCCCTGCCCCTCGGCCAGTCCCGAGCTGTCGCCTGTCCCGACATCCTGAACGTCTTCAAGAAGTCCGAAGGTCTGAATCCAGCGGGGATCGCTCACCCACCCTGCCAGGGACCCCTGTGCCACCCCAGCCCTTCCCGCAGCTCCTGCCTCTCCAGAACAAATGTCCTTGGTGTAAATCGCATTCCAAGCAGGGGGCAGGAAAAGCAGAGATGCAGGGAGCTGCCACAGCAGGACCCAAATCCTTTCATCCTCTGTGGGTGGAGCACCTGGGGACCTCATCCTCCATTCTGGTGCCACCGGGACAGTCCCCAGTGCCCTCCTTCCCCACACACCATCCCAGCCCTCCCGAGGTGTCTCCATCCCTCTTGGAGGGCTGGGAAGGAGAGCTCCCACCCGGAGCGTTCCAGCACTTCTGCGGTCTCTGAGCACTTTCTCAGACAGGAGTCATTTGGAAAATGCTGGGAAATGTTTGCTTTGGGGCAGGAACAGCTCAGGAGAGGCTTGATGGAGTCCTCACAGGAGAAAGGAGCACTTTTATTGCCTTAATTCCCAATTCCCATCCACTGGAGGGATCTGAGCTTGTTTTCACACCCAGCCCAAAGTTTTCCTGACAGCTCCAGGCACGGGGCCGGAGGGAGTGATGGGATGCAGAAGGGATGGGGTAGCAATGGGATCTGGGAGGGAATGATGGTGTCTGGGAGGGAAGGAGCAGCGATGGGATCCAAGAGGAGCAATGGGATCCAGGAGAGATGGGACAGCCAGGCCACTCGGGCACCGCACTGCTGTCCCCATCTGTTCCAGGCTGGGCATTCTGGGGGTGCCATCAGAGGTGACACCCATGGCTCCCCTGAGGTCCTTCCTTGCCCTGCAGGGTGGATCCATAGGAATTGCACCAAGTGGGGCTGGAGCCTCCCCAGCCCCCCCTACCACAGCGCCTGCCAGCTGGAGCCCCTCGGCAGCAGCAACGACACCGAGGCCAAGGCACGTGGGACCCCTGGGGCTGTGGGGAGCTGTCCCCATGGCCCCTTCCCCTCACTGGGCAAGGAACCATGGAGATGTTCCCCTGTCCTTGAGGGGGGAGCTGTCCCTGCTTGTCCCACACCAGCACTTCCCAGTCCATGTCCCCTCACTGTGCTGCTGTCCCTTCCAGAGAGGCCATTTTGTCACCATGAAGGTGCTCTACACCTGCGGCTACTCCACGTCGCTGGCAGCGCTGCTCCTGGCCATCGGCATCTTCTCCTGCTTCAGGTAGGGCTGGGAGCTGCTCCAGCCCCAGGGGCTGCAGGGACACAGGATAAATCCCAGCAGGGATAGCTGTCCTCAGCCTGTCCCCTCCTGGAGCAGCCAGGACACATCCCTGCCAACAGGAAAACTGGGAAGCCAGGAGAGGAAGGGCAGCATTGTCTTTCCCTGGTGGCCCTCTCACGTTCTGGTTTTACAGATCTCCCTGTGCTGCAGATCTGGGCTCTCCAGAGGTTTCTGGGATGTTCCCTTGTCCCTGAGCAGCCCCAAGCACAGCACAACCCTGCCCTTCCTGATTTTAGAGCAGGAAAGCTTCTCCAGGGCTTTGTGACCATCACCGGCAGTGATCCCTGGGCTGGGCTCCAGCCTGGGATGGGGACACCAAGCACCTTCTCTGCCCCTGTTGGGGCCCAGCAGATCTCTCCCTCCTGCAGGAAGCTGCATTGCACCAGGAATTCCATCCACATCCACTTCTTCACCTCCTTCATCCTGCGGGGCACCGCCGTGTTCATCAAGGACAGCGTCCTCTTCTCGGACGAGTCCATCGACCACTGCACAATGTCCACGGTAAATCCCAAATCACAGCCTGGGAATGGGGCAAGGAGAGCAACGGGGGCTCATTGGGAAGGGGTTGGTGGGGCCCAGGCTGGATTTAGCACTGCAGAGAGAGAGAGAGAGAGAGGCTGTGAGATGGAGGAAATTCTGTCATGGGTGGCCTTGGGGAGGTTCAGCATTTCTGCGTCTTCCTCTGTGCAGGGAACAAATTCCGTCCTCAAAGCTGCCACTGGCCTCAGGCTGAGTGTCCCCAGTGGTGTCCCCAGTGGTGTCCCCAGTGGTGTCCCCAGAGGTGTCCCCAGAGGTGTCCCCAGTTGGGCTAAAGCTCAGCACAGCCCCAGCAGCACCAGGATCTGCTCAGATTTGAGGTTTCCAATAAAAGCAGGAACTCCTGAGTGAAGATATAACACCAAGAGCACCACAGCCACAGCCACAGGGCTTTTTAAGGTCCTACAAAAGCAGCCCGTGGTCACCTGCCCATGAGGCACAGGCAGAGCAGAACCTGGGGCAGGTGACTTGAGGGACAGGGGCAGAGTCCCTGGGGCTGCACTGAAAGGTCAGCACTGAAAGGTCATCACAGGTGTCCCCAGGAGGGGGGACACAGAGGGGTGACAATCCCGTGTCCCCAGGACAGGCTGTGGTGCACCCTGAGCCATCCCCCTCCTCCCCTGGCAGGTGACCTGCAAAGCAGCCATCGCCTTCTTCCAGTACTCAGTGCTGGCCAACTTCTACTGGCTGCTGGTGGAGGGGCTGTACCTGCAGACGCTGCTGCTGCTCACCTTCACCTGCGACAGGAGCTACACCTGGGGCTACATCCTCATCGGCTGGGGTGAGCCCAGACACCCCTGGACATCCACGGGCAGGAACCAACCTGGGAATGGCCTGATCTGAGACTCACCTGGCCAGAGGTCCCAGCATGGCCCACCCCAACATCTCCTGCATGGCCTTGATGGGCACCCACCTGCTCCTCCCAGAGCCCAGAGCTGCTGGGGAAGCCTAGCCTGATCCAGGACAGGTTCTCCCTTCTTCCCACACCCAGCTGGGGCTGGGAACACCCATCCCAGCCTGGGTGTGATGCAAGAGCTCAGGGCTGGGAGGGTGGCCAGGAGGTGGCACAGACACAGAATCATCAGTGGGCACCATTTCCTCCTGGAGAAGGTGGGAAGGTTGTCACTTTCCTGCCACTTCCAGAACTGAGCTAGCCACATGTTTCTGGGGACAAGGGACAGAGGGGTGGCACAGGGACTTCCCAGAGCACTGGAGGGACCATCCCTGCCTGTGTCCTGTCCTTGCAGGTGTCCCCATGGTCACAGTTGGGGTGTGGGTGCTCACCAGGCTCCAGTACGACAACCATGGGTAAGAGCAGCTGCCCCTTGGCCTTCTCCGGGCCACCTCAGCCACATGTCCCAGTCCAAGTCCTGGGAAATGAACCTTTGGCATGGGATGCTCAGGAGGGGAGGACTGAGCCAGCGCTTTATTTAAATGTTATTTCTGTTTTCTGGTGGATCTCGTGGCAAGAGGGGTGCAAAGGGGTCAGGGGGACACACGGGTCCCAGTGGGTGCCAGAGCCAGCTCTCCTGTCCCATAGGTGCTGGGATGACTACTCCAGCCCGTACTGGTGGGTGATCAAGGCTCCCATCCTCCTGGCCATATTTGTGAGTGTGCTCCCTGAGAGCCCCACCCCAGAGCCAGGGGTCCCACAGGGCCAGGGGACCCAGCCAGGGGTTGTGCAGAGCCTGAGACGTGGCTTCCCGGGACAGGTGAACTTCCTCATCTTCCTCAACGTCACCAGGATGTTGGCACAGAAGATTCGGTGCCCAGACCTCAGCAGAACCCACAAGCAGCAGTACATGTAAGGGGACAGGGCTGTGCCCACCGGGTCTGGGGTCCCAGGGCAGAGGGACCCTCCTTGGAGGAGCACAGAGGACAATCTTGGGGCCTCCAAGACCTGCCTTTCACAAAGAACCTACTTGGGGTTAAGACCAAGATCCTGGGGAGGTCTCACGGGGCTGCAGGAGCACCCAGACCCCTCTCACTCTCCACAGGAGGTTGACCAAGTCCACGCTGCTCCTCATCCCCCTCTTCGGGGTGCACTACGTGGTGTTCGCGCTCTTCCCCGAGCACGTGGGCGTGGATGCCCGGCTCTACTTCGAGCTGGTGCTCGGCTCCTACCAGGTGAGATGGGCAGGGGAAGTCCCCATGGTCCCACCCCAAACCCCACCAGGAGCCCCTGGGATGTGGGATTTTGGCCTCTTTTAGGAGAGGGTGCCCCCATCCCCCTGGGGCAGGGCACAAGGGACAATCTGGCCCTGGAGAACCTGGCACTGATTTCTTCTGCCCTGTGGGGGGTCAGAGGTATGGGAGGAGGTAAAGGAGGGAGAAGATGAGCACAGAGGAGTCCAGCCCCTTCCATGGGGTGAAAATTGCTCTCCCTGTCCTCTGCAGGGCTTCCTGGTGGCTCTGCTCTACTGTTTCCTCAACGGGGAGGTGAGTGTGTCCCCAGCCCAACCCTGGGCACCACAGCGGGCACAAGGACACCCCAAGGGTGCCCAAAAGCCACACGTGGGCACAAGGACAGTCCCCGCAACCCCTGCCCCCCAATCCCCCCCTGGGTTCTGCCTGGTGTCCCTGGGTGCCAGCACCGTGGTGTTGCTGCAGGTCCAGGCTGAGATCAGGAGGAACTGGGGCAAGTGGCAAAGGTCCATGGAGAGCAACGTCTTCAACCTGGCCACCCAGGACTTCACAGCATGACCAGGCCAGGGCTCCAGGGAAGAGCTGCTGGAGCAGCAGCTCCATGGCTGCGGTCCCAGAAAGACCCAGCCCCCCTGATTTTGGAGGTTCTGGGTCTAACACCCTCAGAGGGTGGTGGGAACAACCATGGGAGCGGCTCTGCCTGCTCAGTGCTGGTGGATCTTGCACCTGTGGTGGCACCTCACCCCTTGGAGCTCTCACTGCTTTGGGGCAGAGTTTCAGGCAGAGGGAAGGGAAGTTCTCCACTTTTCTGCCTGAAACTGGGAAGGAAATACAAAAATCCTTTGCCAAAGGACAGCTGGTGGTTATTGTTTGCACTGGGAAGAAAATGAGCAGCCCCGATACTGAAGGGATTCACTGATGGATATTTTCCCCCTTCCTTGCTTTACAAAATTTCCCTTCTGGGGAACACAGCCAGGAGCCACCCTGGGGATAGGGGAAGGATACAGAGAGAGGAAAATCCCCACAGCTCTACAAGAGACCCCCAACAGCCTCAGGACCCAGTTCCCCAATTCCCAAAATGCTTCCCTTTCTCCCATGTCAGTTGATTGAACTGGAGATGTTTCCTTGCCAGGAGAGCTCTCCCAGTCCTTTGCACTGAGGAGCTTTCCTCGGGTTCATCTTCCAGGGATAAGAAGGGTTTTGCCAATAAAATCCATTCTCAAGTCCAGCCTTGCTTTTCAGAGGGTTGTTTTGCTCCACAAACCTGGAGAATTTGGGACTGGGGTGCTGCAGGATGAAAATCCTGCCCATGGTGGAATACCTGGAAGTATCTCCCAGGCAATCTCTGCTTTTCCCCTGCCCAGCAAAGCTCACAGAGGGGAGATGGAGGAGGAAAACGAGGAAGAGCTCAAGGTGGGGGCACCACGAGCTGTCCCAGAGGTCCTGGGGTGCCCTGTCCCCTCGGGGTCACAGCTGCCCCAACCAGCCCACAGCCTGGCCCTGTCCTCTCACCATGACCATCCTTCATCCTCCCATTCTGAGCTGCTGCCCTGGCCACTGGTGCCTCCAGGAGCGAGAGGCCCCAGATGCCCTCTTGCCAAACTTCCTGGCCTCTCCCATGCTCCCAAGACCGGAGCCACCCGATCCCGGCCTCGCTTCTCACTCTGCCTGGGTTGTCATTTCTCCGTGGTGCCACATGTCCTTCCCTAAATAAACCCCACTTGCTGGCCCCTGTCCAGGCTGCAAGATCTCCAGAGATCCTGTCTGGGAAGGCACTGAGAGGGAAACAGAACCCCAGGGCTGATTTGAGGTGAGATGGGAGATGTCCCATTAAAAAACCCTCTAGAGCCAGAACATCCTGAGGCTCCAGGAACCCTCCAGAGGAGCTCAGGAGATGGCAAATAAACCCATGTCTGCAGCCAGGAAGGGAGCAGAGGTGAATAGAATCCCTCTCCATCATTAGTGAGGATGGGATGATTGGCAGGGATGAGGGAGCAGCGGATTGAGCCAGGACTAGGGGTGCTCAGTGGGAACATCTGTTTCCATAAAACATTGAAAGACTCTGGATTTTCACTGATTTCCAGCTGTGAATGGATTTTTAGGGTGATAAATGACCCCAAATGACCCTCTGGGGTTGCTGGGCTTTGAACCCCATGGTTCAGGAACCTGCAGGACAGGAGCCCGGTGTGGATCCAGGAGGGGACTGGGAATCTCCCTTAGCTTGCAGGAAAGGTTTTCCAAAGGTTCCCAGCACGAACCATGTCCTGCAGCTGCAAAATATCATGGAAAGGGATCTTAAAGGGTTGAAAGAGATTTAAAGCTCATGCCAGGGACACCTCCCAGTGTCCCAGGTGCTCCAGCCCCAGTGTCCAGCCTGGCCTTGGGCACTGCCAGGGATCCAGGGGCAGCCCCAGCTGCTCTGGGCACCTGTGCCAGGGCCTGCCCACCCTCACAGGGAGGAGTTTCTTCAAAAAATCCTCATAAACTTGGAGATTTCCAACCTAAAGCATCACTGATGGTTTATCCTGTGCTCGGGGAACCAGAGTCAGGTTTCCCCTTTCCCAGTGTGGCCGGAGTGCCACAGCCTGGAATCCTCCTCAGCCGCCTGTCCCCGGGGTGCTGTGTGTGTCCCCGCAGGGCCAGAGCGGTGTCTGGGGACAGGGGACAGGGGACAGGGGACCGGGGACAGGGGACAGGGGACCGGGGACAGGGGACAAGGGAGCGGGGACAGGGGACAGGGGACAGGGGACAGGGGACAGGGGACAGGGGACAGGGGACAGGGGCGGGCTCGGGCGGGGCACGGNTTTGCCTGGAGCCGGAGGGTGGCACTGCGGCCCCTCCACAGCGGCTCGGGTGGCAGCGCTGGGGCCACCCGCGGGCACAGCGGGGACACCTCGGGGGGACAGCGGCCACTGAGCCCGGCTCCGAGAGCCCCGGAGAGCGAGGTAAGAGCCACACTGCTCTGGGGGAAGAGCTGGGACAGCCCGGCAGCGCCGGCTTAATCCGGGATGGGGACGGGAATAGGGAGCGCGGTGCCCGATGCTGCTCTCCGTGCCTGCATTCCCCCTCCTGCGGAACCTCCTGGGCGCAGAGGGTGCCCTGTGCTTCCATCTGCTCCTTCATCCCGCTTCGGGACGGTCCCGGTCCTGCAGCTCGGGGAATCCGCTCGCCCCATCGGGAGCTCCGCTTCTGCCCAGACCCTGGGACCCTGCGCAGGGACCGGCAGAGCCCCAGGGACACTGGGACCCACGGCAGGGACAGCGCTGGCAGCACAGGGGAGCTGGAGAGGGGCTGGGGACAAGGGATGGAGGGACAGGAGCCAGGGAATGGCTGCCAGTGGCAGAGGGCAGGGCTGGATGGGATATTGGGCAGGAATTGTTCCCTGGCAGGGTGGGCAGGCCCTGGCACAGGGTGCCCAGAGCAGCTGGGGCTGCCCCTGGATCCCTGGCAGTGCCCAAGGCCAGGCTGGACATTGGGGCTGGAGCAGCCTGGGACAGTGGGAGGTGTCCCTGCCATGGCAGAGGTGGCACTGAGTGGCTTTAAGGTCCCTTCCAACCCAATTCCCTGGGTCCCAACCATTCCCTGATTTTGTGATGCTGAGGTGGATCTAGCTCCACAAGCTAGGGCACCTCAAATACTCCAGGGTCCCCGAGGCTGGACCAAGCATTGCCCTAATTCCACCCTGGAAACCCAAAGACACATTTTTCTCACCCTGATCAGTGTTGTCTAGTACCTCTGGATGCCCCAAGATCCATTCCCATTGGGATTTACTTGGTGTTGCAGACAGAAATGTGCTCCTGTGCCCTGCTGGGGACCCTCGGTGTCCCCACATCCCACAGGGCAGGAGACACATCCCAGGGTTTCCAGCCTCACTCCAGGCCTGCTCTTGGTCTGGGAAAAGCAAAAATGGACCTGTGCAGCTTGAAATGTCTTCCTGTGCTGACAAGGCTGGGCTTGGGGCAGGTGCTGGGAGCCACCAAACATCCCCTGAATTCCCTGCTGTAACCAACAGAGCAAGTGGAAAGTCCCCACAGCCACAGCAGGAGGGTGTCCCTGTCCCTGTCCCTGTCCCTGTCCCTGTCCCTGTCCCTGTCCCTGCTGTCCTCACCAGCCAAACCCAGTGCACAGGATGCACAGGGAATGCTCCATGCCCCTGGATCGTGGCTGTTGTTCTCCTGCTGAGCTCCCAGTGGGCTCCCAGTGCCAGCCCTGGGAGCTGCTCTGCTTCCCTCCCTCTCTTTCCCTCGGCTTTATCCCCTCAGAGCCTGCTTGAGGCTCCAAGCCAGCCAGAAGAGCCCCGATTTTTAATTGAAGAGATCCAAGTTATGCCTCCCAAAGCACACCTTTGGCATCCCCTGCTGGAGCTCATCCTGAACCAGTTTTCTCTGGAGAGCTGAATTGGCTCCTGCTCTGCCTTATTCCCACAGTCTCACAAAGGAAAGGAGAATCGTGAGTCTGAAGCAGAATTAGCCCAAGGAACTTCACTTCCCAGCTCCCTGGTGTCAGGGCTGCTGGCCTGGCCATGGCTGTGTTGATTGTGGAGGATGCTGGAGAGGACAGGGGCGAGGGGCTGGGCAGGGCAGGGGATTCCCGTGGGATTCCAGGCTGGGAAAGGCAGGGACTGCAGCTCCACTGAAGCCACCCCAACACCGGGAAGTTTCTCCAGGGTGTTTTGGGACTGGAAAGGCAGAAATGATTCACAGAGGTAGTGGTTTTGGGGAGGTGATGAGCCCCTCT